GGTGAGTCCCTGGGACTGTTAATTAACAGTTAGTCATTAACTGCACTGCATTTCCTGTGCAAAGAGCTTCATGAACCCTCTCCTGAGTAGTCCTGTGTATAAATATCACTTGCCTTGTAACAAACACTACTTGACACCTCCATTGCCTGGGGGTTATATCTGTACTAAAGAATTAAGAAAATCAGGGGTCTCCCTGATAGCCTAGGGGGTAAGTCTCAGTGCTATTACCACCACAGCCTGAGTTCAATGCCCTGACAGGGAGCTAACCCACATATGGCACAGCAGACCTGTCTTGTTGGGCCCACTGCTCCCAGAGCATTGTATTTCAGTTGATCCACCTGTTCTGCTCCCCACTCTGTCTCTGGTGAATCCTTTCACGCCCTGCACTTCTGACCTGTGTGCCAGTTTTTCTACATACAAATTAATCTTTATTTAGTTTTGTTTTTAAATTAATTAATTATATTTATTTATAGACGAACCGGAGTACAGGCCAGATGCACGGGAGGGTGAGAGGATTCACCAGAGACAGAGCGGGGAATAGAACAGGCAGACCAAGTGAAGTGCATTGCTGAGGGGAGCACAGGGGAGACAGGAGAGTTCTGCCCACCATGTGGGTTGCTCCGAGGCTGGGCGGGGATCGAACAGGCACTGTAGAGGCTGTGGACAGCTTCACAGCACTGCGTTCAACTGCCTGCACCACCAGGGAGGCCCCTACACACAAATTAATCTTTTAAAAATGTATAAGTAAAAGAATTAAGAAAGGGAGCTTCCCTGGTGACACAAGGGGTTAAGCATCAGCCCTATGAAGCAATCTGCAGCTACTGCAGCATGAATTCAATTCCAGGCCAGGGAGATGAACCACATGTCACAGCAAACCTTTCCTGTCTTGCCCATGGCCCCTCAGCAGTGTATTTCAGTAGATCTGCCTGTTCTGCTCCCCGCTCTGTGTCTGGTGAATCCTCTTACCTCCCACACCTCTGGTCACACCCCAGCTCTTGTATGAATAAATAAACACATCTTAAACAAAAACAAACAAACAAACAAACAAACAAACAAACAAACAAACAAACATATCTTTTAAGAAAATTGAAGGTAAAACTTTACACATTCACATCGCAAGTGTAAATTGAAGCAGATTTTCAGAAGCACTACAAAGAAGCCCTCCAGTGATCAGATGCTTTGCTGATGCTTATCATGATGCTCCCATTCCACACTGACCTTTCCTGATCTGAGCTGTAGCTGCCTTTATGAAAAGGTCAGATCTCACTCCTGTTTTGGATTCAATTATACATTGCTAGAAACATAAAGACTAACAGTGGTGATGGTCGATTTTATGTGTCAATTTGCCTGGATTCAGGTGTGTCAGTGGAAGTGTTTCTGAAAGATATTAGCATATGACTCAGCAGAATGAGTAAAGAGGTTGCCTTCACCTGTAGGAGTGTAGAGGGTCTGAATACAACAAAAAGGTGAAGAAATGGTGAAAGTGTTTTCTCTTCTTCATGGTGCTTCAGACTCTGGAACTTACATCACAAGTTCCCATGGCCCTCTGGTCTCCAGACTCCAGCAGGAATTATACAAGAGCGTTTCTACAAGTCTCCCTCCAACTTGCAGGTGACAGCTTGTGGGACTTCTCAACCTCCATAGTTATTTAAGTCAATTCTTACAATAATCACTACATGTATATGAATATATGGTATGATATATATATAGTTTTAATGAAGCATATACATTAGGCATTAAAAGATAATTTCCCTGGGTTTTTATAGAAGGGTAGATTATCAACTTACTGATGTTTCCCAAGTAGATTCATGGTGAGTTATCTAAATATATGTGGTTACCTATTTTCATATTGAATTCCAATGAAGGGATAGCTCTGAAAAACACTCAGTTCTCACCTTTGTCAAAAATGGGGTGAAGAAGGGCAAAACAAAGGAAAAAGAGAAAGTGTAAAACTTTATTTTGCCATATTCAGAAGCAAATGCAGACGAACACCCATAAAAGTATGCCAACAGTTCTCAGCACAAGCTATATATCAGATTCACCTGGGAACTCTTTTTTTTTTTTTTTTTTTTTTTTTTTTTAAAGCATGCATCCCTAGGCACCAATTGTGAAATTTCAACTTTTGGAGTTTGAGGTGAAGCACTGGATTATTAATTTCAGCATTTTCTGAATGATTCTGAAATAGATCCATAGGTGACACCTGGCTTAGAAGTGAAGAATAGAGAGTTGAAACATTATATTGATAAATGCAGTTGTCATGACTATGGAGTTTAGGGAAGCGTTTTTATAATTGTGAATTTTTTTTATAACTGTACAAAAATTGACATAAAGTTTCCAGTAAAGTAAAGATATCATTTTAAAATGTGGCATTATGCCAGGAGGGATACTAACAGGAAGGGAGAGAAAAAGTCAGAGACTGAAAGATCAGTGAATCCTTGATAGTTCGTGCTTCCTCTTGTTTAGGCTCTAGTGTCTAGTAAGTCAATAAAACACTAATATTGATCTTGCTGTGAAGATATTTGTAGACACAATGAATGCTCATAATCAATTGACTTCAAGTAAAGGAGATTATCGTAGGTAATCCTGGTGACATGTTCCAATCAGTTAAATGACTTCAAGAATGGAAGTGATTTTTTGCCTGAAGAGTAAATTCATCTGAGAATGATGCTACCTGAGCTTCCTTTCAGCCAAACCTATGTATTCCAGATTTGTCTAATCAGACCCCAGCACTGCATAGTCAATACTGTACAATACATCTCTTAACATATGTCTCCCGCTGGTTTTCTGGATGAATCCTGACTGTCCGGAGCCGTCCGGAGTATGTGCCGTGTTGCATATGCATGCCATGAGTTCGCTTTACCGTTTCGCCTTCGGAGAACCACAGGTTTTTCCTGTAAAGCACATGAGACTGGGAGGTACGGGGGGAGGAGCTACGAGGGTATAAGAGGAGAACGCGGGAGAGAGAGGGGAAGAAGAAAAGAGATTTAAGAGGAGAGCCACGAGAGAGGAGAGCGCGGCGAGAGGAGCAGAGAGAAAGCCAGGGAAGAAAGAAAGACAGGGAAAAGGAAAAGTGAAGGAAAAGGAAAAATAAAGAAGCAAACGCTAGCGTCAAGTTGTCAAACCCCTCATTTCAATCCTCAGCCCTTCTCTTTTCATGCCTCCGAATCCCGCGGGTCGGGACAGGTGGCGCCCAGCGCGGGGCACGAAAAAGAACGAAGGAACCGCTGAAGGACCAGCTGTGGTGAGCCGGCAAGTAAAGTAAAGTAAGGTAAGGAAGCTGGGATCATGGGCAATTCAATGTCCAAGGGACGGTTAGTTATTTCCCTGGAAGCTCTCCTAAAATAGTTTGGGGTTCCTCTTAGTAAGAAAAATTCTTAAAAGATTTGTAGAGACCCTTAGTATCACTAGTAAGTGGTTTCTAGAGCAGTATCAGGTCGCTAGTGCCATTTGGAATAAGGCAAGATGGAGGAGAAGCCGACATTCAATTAACAAAGGTCATTCAAGTGTCGACAGAACCATATGCGGAGTTCCTAGCAAAATTGATGACTGCAGCTGGCCGATTTCTAGGTAACACTGAGGCTTCCCTACCGATAGTTAAACAGTTTGCATTTTGAAAATGCTAATAAGTGGTGGTAGGAGGCTATCAGACCCTGGAAAGCTCGGGCTAGTTTGTATGGTTATGTGAGACTTTGTTAGGATATTTGTCTATGTAATAATTGTTCATGTCTGGACTGGTGCCCTTTTGCCCTGGTGGGCCAGGGTGAGGTGAAGTTATATAATGGCACTTATTTTGCAAACAGTACCTTTGAACAATCCATTGGTGTCCAGAATAATGGGTCGGAGACTTTGTCTACTGCTGTCTGTCTGTCACCTCCCTTCTTTCTTGTCCTTTCCAATAATGTAGGAGATGCCACAGTGTTGAGCTGTTCAGCGGAGACCTGCCCCCTCTCTGCCTCCTGGGCCCGGAGTGCAGAGAGAGCAGTGATCGTTCGTCTACCTCCTATTTTAGTCATGCCCGTGGATGTTTCTGCACACCTTTCCCCTGTTCTACCTAGGAGGAGACGTGATTTTAGCATCACTGCAGCTATTGTCGCCGTTTCAATAGCAGTGGCCGCGGCTGCTGCCGTCGTTGCTGTCACTCAAGCTGCTGTAAATACGGACAATGTGCTGCCGGTGTTGCTTCTGCATTGTCAACACAGTAATATATGAATGGACATTTGCGGAATGGACTTTTTGTGCTTGGTCAGCAGACACCTCTAATGTAAAAAGGGATAGACACAATTTTGTTAATTGTTCACATACCTTGTAACCCTCTGTACAGTTTTATTTGTGTTACCCCTGTTACAGGTGAGGGTCTCATTGCCTGGTTTAGAGGACTCCTCTCAGAGTTGTAAGCTTGGGGCAGGGTGGTAGCCTTAGCTCTTGGCTTTTTGTGCATTCAGCTTGTGGTTTCTCCGTCGGCTACGGAAGTAAAACAAAGAACTATTGTGCTATTACGATCAGGCAAGTACTTGGCACCATGGTACTTGACCAGGACTCCCCAGTGGCACCTGGATGGGTCACCTTAGTCTTAGAGAACCTGTGAGCCAAAGACGGGTAAGGGCGTAGCCCGGCCAGACCAACCTAAGACAGTGGTCCGGACCAAGTGCTCCAGATTAGCAATGATGGGTAAGGCTGGTTATGGGACGTGCCAACCTAAGACAGGCCAGGTGTCTCATTTAAAAGAAAAAATGGGGAGATGTCCGGAGCCGTCCGGAGTATGTGCTGTGTTGCATATGCGTGCCATGAGTTCGCTTTACCGTTTCGCCTTTCTCTCTGCTTTCCAAAATCATCCTGAAAATGGTATGGGAACAACTGCTTCTTTGATTCATTTTTGTAATTCCATAATGTCTGTTTTTTTCTCCCTTTGTGATCCACTTCAAAGCCATTTCTGATGTGTAAACCACTTCTTCTGTGAGATCTGACACGTATACATTCCTATTGAAGTCTTCCCGAATTATTCAACGCTTCATTTTTTGCGTGTCACAGAGGACGTCTATGATGGTCTCATTGTAGATGTCCATGTAAGACACACGTAAGAGAAATTCCCTATCAGGAAACTTCTTAATTTTTTGGAAAATGTCATGAATCGCCCTGGGTATTACACCCAAATATTCTTTTGACCCCATCATAGTGTAAGTTTTTCCTGAAGCAGTCTGCCCACAGGCAAAGATAGTACCATTGTAGCCTTGGATAGCAGAGTCTATGATCGGTACTGCTATTTCTTCATACACGTTTTTAGTAGTTTCATTACTATGAAAGACACGATCAAAATTAAAGGATTTACTCCCATCAACTTGATAAATAGCATTATTGTCAGTTTTCCAGTAAACTTGGGTCTCTTCTCCAAGGGCTTCTTCTCTGCTGTTGAGCGGCCGCACCTGCACGCACACAGCCACGGCCCCCTCCTCCGCCATCCCGCCGGCGTCGGCCCGCACCCAGCTGCTTCGGGAGCTGGGCAGCACAACCTAAGATTAAATTTCCGAAGCCGCGTCCCAGCCCCCAGCAAGTCTTCACTCTATCTGGGCTCTCTGGCGTTTGTTCTGCTCCTTCTCGGCTTCTCTTTTGGCGTCTGCTTCGGCTTCTACTGCTGCTTGCTCTGCTTTGGCTTCTTTAGCTTCACGCAGTGAGGCTTCCAGCTCCTGAATCCTCTCTGAGGTGGGCTGTGGAGCTCTGGCTATAACATGATTCTTATCATCTTGGGGAGCAGGGTTGACAAGGGCAACAGATGTCTGGGGGATTTTCAAAGTTTTGTAGTTTTTAAACAGTTTTTCATTTATCTCTTTCATTGATTTCAGTTTCTCTTGTGTTTCCAGGTCCTCTTGATCTTTCTCAGCCCTTCTCTTTCCATGCCTCCGAATCCCGCGGGTCGGGACAACTGCACAATACATCTCTTAACATATGTCTCCCGCTGGTTTTCTGGATGAATCCTGACAAACTACTTTAAGATTATCCACTGATCTCTACCTACAAAGAGTTCTGACTCATCCTAAAGGGATTTGTTTCCCAGATTCCACTCAGTAGCAGTGGCCCTCAGTGCCCAACTCACCCGCTATATGTTTCTGTTCTTGAAAGGGTGATATTTTCATGGAGTGCTGTGTGAGTGAATATATCTGGAGTTGTGCAAATCCATGGCATTGCTGAGACCTCTTTGAAGTTTGTTTTACTTAATTGTTGATAGAAAATAAAGTGACAATGTTCTTTACCTAGAAGGGGGCATCTAACCATTCCCAAGTGACCACCTTGTATCTTAATAGTGCTACAAATAGATGATTTCCTGTAAGTAAAATAATACATGAATATATGAGATCCCTTATTACTAAGTCAGTTACTAATCCTCATGGAAGACTACCTGTGAGGGTTCAGTATTTTATCAAAGGTGACTTTCCTCTAGCTGTGCCACCTCAGAAGAGGTTCCTGAAGACCCAGGGTGACTCCACTTATGTTGTGTGTGAAGTATTCCTCAAGTGTCAGGTCATCAGGAGAATCTTTTTATTGTGGCAGCTCCTGCCTCCATGGTTGGCAATGCCACTGTTGCCACCATTGCTCGCCAGTAATTGGATGAAATAAAGAGTGGCTGTACTGTGGATGCTCACAAATAGAGTACATAAGACCCTCTTCCCCTGTGCACTGGACTGGATAGTCAATGACGGGTAAGATTGGGGGCAGACTAAAGAAGGCACTGGCCAGCCTCATGTCTGTGACTCCTGACGACCTAAGACACGCGCAGTCCCCGAGGGGCTTCATCATAATAAACTTTGGCGTTCAGATCAAACAAGGCCTACAAGCCTATAAGCCCAATCTAGGCAATAAGCCTGCAGTAAAAAACCCCTTCTTTGCTTGAAAACAAGGCTGCTAAGAGTGTTGCCTACAAACAAGCCTGATGGAATTACCTACAAAGCAGTTTAACCATTAACCAGTTAATCATTGTTTCTGAATAAGTAGTAACTTAGCAACTTGTCCATAATTAATTTTCTTACCTGACTTTTTCTATATATGTAAAAATCAGTTTCAGGAAATGTAACCACATATGCTTAGCAACTTGTAAACTATTAGCTAGAAAATTGTATTCTATGCCTAGGTAACAAGAAACATTGTTATGCTGGGAAAATAGATTTTGTGTGACCTAATGCCTTTTGAAAATGTATAAATATGCGTAATGATTTGAGCAAATTACACTCAGATTTTCACTCTCCCTTGAGTGTGTCTGTGTGTCATTCTTTCTTGTTCCCCGCCCTAATTCCTTCGACCACCTTTTGCTCGTTCTCACTCAACCCTGAGACTGTCTCGATCTCCCGCCACCGCTGAGCTGGTCTGCGGCATTTTATTTTTCTGTTTCTCCTAAAGTTTTCCATATTGCAAATTTTTTTTTAATATTCCATTCCATATCCCAAACTTTAACACTTATGAGATAATACTGTGCATTATTGATTTTCTTTTGATTTTAATGTGCTTGCTTTAATATTTTCCATGCTTATAAATCCTGTTATATCCTATGATGTCCCAGATATCAATTGCACAGTCCCACATATTATTTTTATTTATTTATTTTTTAAAGATTTATTTATGTGTACAAGAACTAAGGTATAGTGCAGAGGTGGGGGGGGGGCGGTGAGAGGATTCTCCAGAGACAGAGTGGGGAGCAGAACACCGCTGAGGGGAGCAGTGGGCAGGACAGGAGAGGTCTGCTGCGCCATGTGGGTCAGCTCCCTGCCTGGGAATCTAACTCATGCTGCGGTGGCTGCTGATAGCTTCATAGTGCTGAGACTTAACTCTTGCGCCACCAGGGAGGCCTCCCCATGTATTATTTTTAAAGAAATATTTGTTAAGGAAATATTTACACAAGATAATTTGATGACATCAGGAAATAGATCATATAAAATATGTAAAATCATCCTTTAAATTCATCAGAAAATAGCTAAGTTAGCATACACAATGGTCTTAACAATTATTTGTAATTTGTGCAAAATGCTGTGGTAGTAATTCAGACGTCACTAATTCCTTTTCTGCTCCATTTTTAGCAACAGAGATTTGCACATGATTTTTTCCTTCTTGGTCAAACTGTTTTTATTAAATGTTTCCCTTCTGGAAGATTTTTAATACAGATGTTTCCCTAAATGCACAGTGAATTTAATACTGACATTTCAATATTCATTTATTTAAGAAATAATAGTGAGCATCTATGGCATATAAAATAACATTCTAGGTATTCTACACAGGCAAAAATCCCTGATCTTACAGTGTTAAAATTGCAGTGAGGACTAAGACATAGTTAATCAAATGAATGGCAAACTTTTATGGTTATTAGAAGGTCATTAGTGCTGTAGAGAAAAATAAAGCAAGAAAAGATGAGAGGGATGCAGGGGAAGGCCAGGGTATAGTGGAACCAAATGCAGGTTTCAAGCAGAGGGATAGGCTTGGCTGAGAAGGTCATGTTTGAGCAAAGGAATGGAGGACAATAAAGGGTGAAGTACATGGAAATAAGAAGAGAGCTGCAGCAGACAGAGAAAATAACCCAAGGCGGAGCATGTTAGGGCATTAGATAAAGCAGGACTGGGAAAGTGAGTGAAGGAGTTGGGTAACAGGAGATGAAATTAGAGGCTGGAGCATGTGATGATTATGTAGCTCACTGTTAATGTCAAAACAACAACTTTGTCCTCAACCAGGAGTTTAACACAGAACCAACACAGGGACTTGAGCTCCTAAGTGTCAAGGTCAGATTTAGATGTTAAAAGCATGTTGGTGATTTTATTTGGAATTAGACAAAGAAAGAAGAGAGACAGGTTAATGGGCAATTGTAATACTCAAGGAGAGGGCTTCAGCTGAGGTAAATATAGAAGTAAGGTGGTTGAGGAGTGTTGAGATGTGTTTTGAAGTATTAGCATTTTCTGCAGGACCAAAAAAGAGCTGCAAAAGCCAATTAATCAAGGAAGGCGGGAAGTACTTTTTAATAAACATACCATTACAAAAAGGGGCATGTTCTGAGGACTGATGTCTCTTGTATTGTTGATGCACTAAACTTAACTTGTTATCAGGAAATCTCCCTCTTGTAAGTAACACAAACTTGCTAATGAGTTTCAAATTCTATTAATGAATGCCATGAAACTAAACTTACTTTAACACCTGCCAAAGAAATTTGTTAGTAACAAAAAAGCTGTGAAAAAAAATAAGCTTAAAAAAAATCTTTATCCATCCTGCTCTTAAATAGGGGAAAACCAGTGATGCATGGGAATTGGTTTGCCATGGCTGGAGAAACAATTGTGCACATTTCTTCCCAATTTGGTTTTGTATCATAGCTTGAAATGGGCCAGGCTAGGAATATTCACAACATGGAAATTATCAAACGCTAATTCTTTTTCCTTTTTCTTTTTCCTTTCTATCAAACTGGTCATAAACATTTACCAGCTGCAATAACAGATTTTAATTTTAAATTAAAAAACAAACGAAGAGCTGTGCTCATTTTTTGCTTTCTAAAGTTAAAGTTACCCATCATCCTTTGTCTTTAATAATAAAAATAAACAAGTTAGTCATTTTTATTGATTGTGGAAATTGAGGGTGATGAAGGGATAGAGACTTTTTCTGACCAAGTGACCAAACAGACCCTGGAGAGTGATCACAGATTTAAGAGCAAATGTAACTTCCTGATATGACTTCCCCAAGTGGTCCTCCTTATGAATTGTCTCCTGTCCTATGAGCATTTTATTTATTTTATTTTTAAGATTTATTTATTTATACAAGAACCCGGGTACAGGCCAGATGTGCGAGAGGGTGAGAGGATTCACCAGAGACAGAGCAGGGAGCAGAACAGGCAGACTGAAGAAATACACTGCTGAGGGGAGCAGCGGGAGAGACAGGCGAGGTCTGCGGCACCATGTGGGACCCTCACCAGCCCACCAGGATTGAACCGGTGCTGCAGAGGCTGAGGACAGCGTCACAGTGCAGCGCTCAACAGCCTGCGCCACCAGGGAGGCCCTATGAGCATTTTAGATAAGACACCATGAGGACTAAAAAATAACAACAACTACCTCCCTGGTGGTTCGAGGGGATAAGTCACAGCATTATGAAGCTACCGGCAGCCACTGCAGCCAGGTAGCTGACCCACATGGCACAGCAGACTTCTCTTGTCTCAACTGCAGCTCCCCTCAGCAGTGTATTTCAGTAGATCTGCCTGTTCTGCTCCCCACTCTGTCCCTGGTGAATCTTCTCACCCTCCACCCCTCTGCCCTGTACCCCACTTCTTGTATGCATAAATAAATAAATATTTAAAGCAGCAACTAAAAGAATCAATGAAATCAAAGCTCTCCAACTATGAACCCTAATATAAGGCCTGTGCCCCAGCTCCTGCCTCTCTCCCTGTCTGCTCTCTGCTTTCTTCTTTTCATGCAACCACTTGAGGCATGTCCTGTGCTTCCTTCAACCCCTCTC